TGCTGATGTGGTGTATAAGACCCCAGCCACAAGGATACACAGTCTGCATTGAAGGAAAGATATCCCAGTTCCTTCTACTGAAGCCTTGTTAGTCTTCATTAATACATCTGTATTCACTGGGCCAGGGAGGCAGAGAAAAATAATCCATGTTCACACTGTTGGTTAGAAGTTCACTGAAGAGGATAGAGCTTGGGTTTCAGTCCCTTGTCCAGTTACTTTTTATGAGATTTATAACAAGTGCTCATAGAGGAAGGGAGGGGTTGAGAAATGCTTATTGCCAAAGTAGCCCATAGCTTCATAAACAAAACCATCTCCAAATCAAAGAAGAGGCTGGCTTTTCAAGCTGAGATCTCCTATATTGCGAGTACTTGAACAATAACTGAACAAATAAAGTGGAAGAAAAATATTTGGAGGTTTCCTGAATGTCCTGGGTGGGTACATTTTTTCATTCCTGATACTTCTAAAGCTGTGATTGTTGGGAGGGGATGGATGGGGAAGCAGTGGTCTCTGTTCTTACTCTCACAGGTGATGCTGAGCTCAGAGCTGGAGGGTCTAGCAGAGGGAAGGACCTTGGAGTCCTCACTTACAGCTCACCAAATCTCCAGCTCAACATGCAGCAGCGGCCAAGACCCAGGGAAATGCTGGGCACCATCAGGAGGACGGCGTGACCTTGCTGCCCTATAAAGCCTTGCTGAGCAGACGTCTTGAGTGCTTTGTGCAGTCTGGTCTCTGCATCTCAGAGAAGGCACAGTGGCTTAAGAAGAGATACAGAGAGATCAACAATTAGAGATGATGAAGCAGCTGCTCCAGGAGGAGACTGAAAAGACTCTTCAATTTGGAGAAAAAGCCAAGAAATTCACAAAAATCATAATGGCAGTGAATAAGATGAATGCAGAACTGTTAGGCAAAAAATCCTGTGGTTTATAATGGAAATTAGTATACACAGTTGTTATACACAATGAAATTAGTAGCTCAGCTTAAATGAAATAAAAGAAAGTACTTTTTTATATAGTAGATCAGGAACTTCTAGAATTTGTTGTCACAGGATGTTATGGAGACTGACAATGTCAACAGGCCCAGGAAAGTATGGAGTCCTCCCAGTGTCAGGAACAGGAGGCTTGTAAGTGGATACTACAGCCTGGGATGTATCCCCCAATATCCCTAATACAGTGATTCGTGGGTGCTGGGGACTGGGGCAGAAGAAATTGACTACAGCAGACTTGCTGTCCCTAAATAACATTGCCCAGTTCCACTTTCTAAGGCTGATCACGGGGTTAGGTGAGCTACTGCTCTGACCATTTCTCATGCTCTTGCAGGTGATTACTCTTCCCGGGGAAAATGTTCCCCATCTCGCCAGCAGCCGAATTGTGTACCAGACATTCTGCAATAGCTCTGAGCAAAATGCTGGTGGTTTGGGAGTATGGTAGACAAAATGAAAACAGGAATGAAATCACTTTGGAAATGCAGTAAACCCAATGCAGTGAGCGTGTGTTGTGCAACAGCCAGCGTGTCTGTGGTAGCCTTGATGTATCCCTGGGCTGCCTGAGCTTCGCTTGGCTGATGAGCCACGGCCTCCACTTTCCCCCCCACTGAAGGACACAGCAAAGAGCCTGAGTGTACTCAGTACACCAGGCAGGACCATGGGCTTTGGGCTTGAAACAAAAACCACCACACCTTCCATATTCAGGTATTACCCATTATGGCAGAAATATGGCAACCATCTTCTCAAGAGGGTATAATCTGGAAAGCCCCTCAGGGAATGTGAGGAATGCTAAGCCTCCCATACAGGAGTGACGCACTCTCCTGGTCTTCAGCTGAGGACTGAGATTATGCTCAGTGCATATTGGGAAAGCAAACAGGATAGTGGATGGTTGTACTCGCAACATAGCTCTTGGTGCGTTCATTGGATAAGGCTCCTTAGCAGCTGCTGATCATCTTTTCTGCCAGACAAAAGGAGGCTGTGAGTATGCAAAGGGTGAACTGAAAGCTGGTTGCTGCTTAGTGATTTTAGCCATAATGCTAATTCTACTTGCATAAGCTTAGTACTTTCTGCAGTAATTTAGCATGACTAGGAAAAGAATTAAGTCTTCTAGCTACGGCACAGTAGCAAAAATATGTGCACTATTGACTTAAGTGTATTTGAAAACATACTGTCTGCATTTTTATATAATTTATATTTTACTGGGAGAAAGGAACCGCAGCCGGTTAACAGGGTGTGCCTAGTACATGGCGTTTCACGTGCTTCAGGAGACCGAGGATGCAAAATCACCCTGGTGCACCACAGTGCAGCACACTGTTTTTTGTGACACTTTGGTATGTAAAGTATTTTCCTTGGACAATTGTTACTAGAAACGTCTAGTATGCTGAAACAAGCTGAAGGCTCAACTATGCAAGGCTCAACTATGCTTTCTACACATCCATATATGTCATAGGATGGTGCACTTTAAAATGATCAATTGTCAATTTTAGCGGACTGCTGAAGTGTAAAAGGAGTGTCTACAAGTATAATCACAAAGCAACTAAGTAAATAGGGCTAGTAAATGGCATATTTTCTAGGAAAATAAATATTAGGAGATTTATTCTGTTGCTAGTAGTAACGTGTTTTGAATAATAGGTCCAGAAGGCAGCCTGGGCCACGCTGTCTCTTGCATGAGAGCACTTCTGAACCAACAAATTTTGTAAGAGGTTTTCTCCTAACTGAACTCTAAGAGAGACTCATTTCAGAGAAAAGAAACTGTTCACTAATTTTGCGAATAGAGAACTAACCCCCAGTTAATGTTTCTTGTCACCTTTCCAGCCACCTCATCTGTTCACCTGCTTCCAAATAATAAGACTTACTAATAATTTTCTGTTTGCTGCAAGAATATCAGGGTTAAAGGAGATAAGACTATTTATCTGTATCCTTTGACAACTTCAGAAGACTGGAAATATGCTTAACAGACAACCTGGAAAGCTCAAAGTTCAAGACTGTAATTTCTTCAGAAGGCAGATTGGGAGTTTGTGGTTTAGTGTCAGGTATCTCAAAGAGTGTTTGCTGTTCCTCCAGCTGCAAAGTCGTTGCCATGCATGCAGCAAACAGAGGAAACAGCAGTTCTCAGCTGAGACTTGTTCTTAATGAGTTACTGTCCCCATTTGAATCTTGGGGAAGTAAGATGCAGAGGGAGGATGACATGCTTAATATCATTAATCAAGAGCACTAGAGTCCAAATTAGATGTGGACTACCTGCTGTGCATTCCCCTGCTTCAGAACATACCAACCACAGTTTTTCATGTGATGATGACTTTCTGTCACTAAATATTTTGAATCATTTATGTTGGAAAAGACCCCTAAGGTCATTGAGTCCAGCTGCAACCCTAATACTGCCAATTCCATCACTAAGCCATGTCTCTAAATGCCACGTCTACACATCTTTTAAATACCTCCAGGGATAAAAGTAGGGAGGAACTGTGGAGTCCTTATCTCAGAGGGACGAAGAATGAATCTCTGAGAACACCTGGAACTGCTTTACAGTGACCACAGTTTCTTTGAGGATTGGTACCTTTATCTTTCAGGATGTTTGATTTGTGAGGAATAAAGTTGTTACCAGGTTTAAGAGGATTTGAGTTTTGATACCTTTGATACCTTTGGAGCTTGTCCAAAACCATTTTTTACCACAGACTACTCAGCTAACTTCCTTGCATCTTACTTTCCCTATGAAAGGGAGGAAATACTAGTAGAAAATCAAAGAATCAATGCACTGATTGAAAGATGAAAGTATATTCTTTCTTTGATAAGTTTTTTTGCTTCCGAGTTGTCCATTCCACATTAAAAACATTAACTTCTACTTTCTTTTTTTTCCCCCATCATATTGTTACCTGACACCTATCAAAGCTGCCTTCTCCTTTACACCGTATCTTCACTGCTTTCTCACAGCTCTACTATTAAGCAGCCTACGGAAAAATTGCTGAAAAAATGGTCACTTTTCACCCTTGTTGCTTACTGGCCTAGATCAGAATTGAACTTGCGATATGACTCTTTGGGGATTCCTCTAGAAATATATCAGCTGTGTCAGTGTATCCATTCTCTCAGAGTTTAATAAGCATGTAGCTACACATACCTATGTCACAAACTGTCCTCCAAAATACGTGTAAGTTTATAGTTGTTTGATCAAAGCCATATCCATATAGCTTACTCATTTACTAAGCAGTATATTTTGAAGCAGAACAGAGCTTATCTGGGTTTTCTAGTTAAATGAAGTATAGAACATAATTCTGAAACTGCAGATGCTACTTCTTTATGTAAGTAGAAAAGGATGTCACACAGAGTGCTTTCCTGTTAGCGAGCTGTGCTTTTGCTGATAGGTGTGGGAAAACAGCATCTCTACTTTTCCAGCAGTGTAATCCT